GAAAGGACCGCATTGTATTTGATTGTTCTTTCTCCTATGAGAATCAATGCCTGAATTCACAATTGCTCCCTGGTCCAACCCTTGGGCCTTCCCTCCTTGGAGTTCTCCTCCGTTTCAGGCAGCATAGGATTGCCATCAGCGGAGATGTTAAGTCCATGTTCCACCAGGTGCGCCTGTTACCCCGAGATAAACCCCTTTTGCGCTTCCTCTGGCGTAACCTAGACAGTAGATCCTCTCCAACTGTATATGAATGGCAAGTCATCCCATTTGGCACCACCGCCAGCCCATGCTGTGCCATTTACGCCCTCCAGAGGATTGCCAAGGATGCACAGGCAGATGAGCGCATTACCTATTCCATACAGCATTGTTTCTATGTGGATAACTGCCTTCAAAGTCTCCCCACACAAGAGGAAGCTAAGGACCTCCTTCACTGCATGCGTGCAACCCTCTCCTCTGGTGGCTTTGAGATTAGACAATGGGCCAGTAATGACCCCAAGGTCATCTGTGATCTCCCTCCCGATGCTAGGTCAGACCAGGCAGAGCTCTGGCTGTCACACCATCCTTCCCTTGATCCCATGGAATCTACTCTAGGCCTCCACTGGAATTGCCATACGGACACCCTGAAATACAGGCACAGAGCCATTGAAGCTACTACTCCCACCATGCGTCACATCTATAGAGTTCTTGCAAGCCAGTACGATCCTCTTGGCTACATCCTCCCCTACACAACAAGAGCCAAGATCATTGTCCAGCACCTGTGGGCAAAGGCGAGAGAATGGGATGATCCAAACCTTCCCCACAACATCCTAGAAGCCTGGCTTTCCTGGGAAGGAGAACTCCCGAATCTCTCCTCAATAGTACTGCCCCGTTGTCTTATCCATTGGACAGTAAACACCCCCTCAGCCATCCAAGACCTGCACATCTTCTGCGATGCATCAGAGCAGTCTTATGGTGCAGTCGCCTACATGCGCACTGAAGATGGTCAACAGGTGAATGTGTCCTTCCTAATGGCAAGGTCCCGTGTTGCGCCCAAAAAACAACTATCTATCCCTCGACTTGAACTGTGCGCAGCCCTCATTGGAGCTCAACTGTTCAACCTCCTCCGAACAGAGCTCACCCTCAACATCAGACGGGCTACTTTATGGAGTGACTCTACCACCGTCCTCTATTGGCTTCTCTCAGACTCATGCCGCTATAAGGTCTTTGTTGGAACCAGGGTGGCTGAAATCCAGGAACTCACCAAAAGCCAGGAATGGCGCTATGTGGATTCCCGAAACAACCCAGCTGACGATCTGACTAGAGGGAAGCAGCTGTCTGATCTAAGTAAGCCTTGCAGGTGGAACCAAGGACCTGCCTTCCTCCTGCAACCCCCTGACCTGTGGCCAACTAACCCCACAATAGATCAGGCCGAAGATCCTGTCGAGCTACGTAAGCCCAGTTTCTGTGGTGCTGTATTTCTTTGCCAAAATCCCTCGATCTCTGACCCTACCCAGTTCACCACCTTTCAGGATCTCCTTGACTCTACTGCTGCATCCCATCATGGGGTGGCAGAACCTCCTGCAACACCATCGGCAGAAACCTACCTTGACGCAGAGATTGCAATCCTGAGACAGACCCAGCTGGATTCCTTTGGAAATGATTTGGCATGCCTTCAGACCCACAAACCCCTTCCACATTCCAGTCGTCTTCTTTCCCTTGCTCCGGAACTAGATCCAGTGTCAGGTCTCATTCGAGTAGGCGGAAGGTTACGACAAAGCAATGACCTGCCCCCTGATGCCATACATCCAGTTGTCCTGGACCCTGCCCATCCGACCACGAAACTTATAATTAAACATTGTGATGACCACCTACATCATTCTGGTCCCGAGAGGCTATTCGCTGAGCTGAGGAGGCGATTCTGGATCCTGAGGGGTCGTGAGGCTGTCAGGAAACACCAGCACAGATGTGCTAAGTGCAGGCAGTTCCGTGCCAAACCCCTTATCCCCCAAATGGCCGATCTTCCTCCTGCTCGCCTACGCCTCCGCAAACCTCCCTTCTATTCCACCGGGATAGATTGTTTCGGGCCCTACACTGTGAAAGTTGGACGGCGAGTTGAGAAAAGGTGGGGAATTATTTTCAAATGTCTGACAACTAGGTGTGTACATCTAGATCTACTCAGTCACATGAATACCGATTCCTTTTTAATGGCACTAAGGCGCTTTATAGCTCACAGAGGCAAACCTTTTGAGCTGCTTTCTGACAGAGGTACCAATTTCATCGGAGGCAACAGAGAGCTAGAGGAAGTCTACCGATCCCTGACCCCTGACCTCCAGGCAATCCTGGCCAAACAGAGGATCTCCTTCAAGTTCAACCCCCCACACGCACCCCACTTCGGCGGGACGTGGGAGCGTGAAATACGTTCCATCAAGATTGCCCTGCAGACCACCCTAGGTGCCCAAGCTGTCACTGAAGAGGTGCTACGCACAGTGATGATTGAAATCGAAGGTATCCTCAATTCAAAGCCCCTTGGTTATGTCTCTTCTGACGTTGCAGATCCTGATCCGGTGACTCCTAACCTGTTGCTCATGGGGCGGCATGACTCTTCCCTCCCCTTGGTAACGTATCCTGACTCTGAGCTGCGCAGCCGCCGTCAGTGGCGTCATAGTCAGATTCTTTCTGATCATTTTTGGGCTCACTTCCTCAGAAATTATCTTCCTTCTCTCCAGTCTAGACAGAAGTGGCGCACTGATAATCCTAACCTCCAACTAAACACTGTTGTTCTCATTCTTGACCCTCAGCTCCCCCGGTCCCTCTGGCCAGTAGGTAAAGTGATTGCCCTCCATCCCGGCAAGGACGGCCGTTGTAGGGTTGCAGATGTCCAGGTGGGGAACAAACAGTACACAAGACCCGTTGCCCGCCTCATCCCACTCCCTGCCCTACCTGAACCCCCATGACCTTCCACTCAAGCAAATTTGCAAGACAAATTTGGGGGCGGCTGTTTGGAAGTTTCCTGTCTGTCCTGCAGTTGCCACGCCCATTTTTTCTTTGCCACTCAGTTCCCCATGCAGTTCCCCACACCTTCAGCTAATTAGCTCCAATCAGCCACAGACTTTATTAGACAGCACCTGTGCACAGCTCTTTCTCTTTGTTCCTGCCACATGGAGGAATTCTTTGTGTGTTGCTTCTGGAAATGCCTTGTCTCCTGCTCTGTGTGCGTTATTGAACTATGTAAGTTCCATACGTTTCTCTTTTGATTGTATGTTAATTGAATTATGAGAATGTTCCTTTCTGTCTGTTTAAATGTACAAATGTTTGATTGTCATTCAAATGGATTGTGGCCTTGTATTGTGGCATTATGTAGCTAATTGTATTCCATATCATTTCCCTTTTAGAAACCACACATACACACACACATTACACAAACATACCTAATAAAGAAAGGCATTGTGGAATTAAAGTGACTGGACTAGACTGTTCTTACCGACACCTCCACTGGTCTCAAGCCAGCTACCTGCACATCCCTCTCAAACCTCCTTTTCACTCGCACTGTATATGCTACACTGGAATGTAACGTTACTCTATGTATCATATTGCGATAATGTCACGCCATTAATTATTAAAGTTAAATTGTTTTTACCACGTGTCAGAGGAATGCGACTTCGCAGTCACACACACGACTGAATGACAACACAGTTTGACTTGACTTGACATTCGTTGTGATTATTACATAAAATAAATTGATTAGCTATAACAGATCAAACGCACACACATATTAATGTCAACACATATTAATAAAGCTGAAGCTACCTTTAAAATGTGTTACAGAATGAACGTCGAAGACTGGATGTTTCAGGTAGAACTGAACAATAATAAACGAAACAGCAATAGAAACGGAATCCATAAACGGCAAACCTAGTTGAGCTGTAGCCTAGGCAGCATTTAATCAAGCTTGCTCAGATCAGAACAAAATTTGAGTTTTACGTTGGCTGCCATTGTGTTTTTCAAATGTAAAGTCCCAATCCCTGTAGGCTAATAACTGTTTTTTGTTTTTAAAACCAGCTTAGTATTTTTTTCTGATATTTTTGGTAAACGTTACAAACAATTTGTTAAAATGTATTTAATTACAAACAATTAAAAGCATATTCTACCAAATATTATAATACTATTGGACCTGTTCAATAACAAAATAAAAGCACATAAATGTGCTAAAAATTGAAAGACATTTTAAACACATCTTTAGAAAAGTAGCAGTTATTAAATGATAGAATGAAAGTACATGATTTCTAAAACAAAATCTACACGGGAACTGGAATTTTATTCAGAAATGATAGGATGTTTTATTAGTGGGATACTGGGTCGATATAACCTTTTTTTCACTGAAATGACAAGTCACCAGAAAAAAAGAAAACAACCACTCTGATAAAATAATCAGATTTAATAAACAGAATTACACAAATGTGATCAACAAAAAACAATAAGAAAACACTATACAAAAGCAAGTGATTATGGCCATGACAAAGATACACAACATTGTATAGCAAATTCTTTTACAGATTTTATACATAAAGACCTTTAATCAGGCAATCAGTTAATATCAATTTACTACCAACAGTCAGATTACAGTGCTTGTTTTCTTTAAGATTACATTAAGACTTAGTCTCTCCATCAACACATTTCAATTTGTTTTATCAAACCAGCTTTGGTTAATCTATAGACATTTAAGGTAAGGCCTTTGCTTGACCTGTAAAACAAAACAAATGTCTGTACTAACCAATACACAGAAAGGCACCTGGACTGCTTTAAGTCATTTTATAAAACCCTGAGCTAAAGCAGTCCACTTTAACTTACACAGGAGCAAAAACACAAGGCACCTTTCTGTTTTTAAAGTGAATTCATAAAAATAAAAATAGAGGAAAGCAATATACAGTAATCAACATTTGAAGAGTATCAACCCCTTTCATCAAAGTTATACATGAATTTTAAACAACAACCCGTTCTTGTCTTAGGACAACTTAAGTTGACTACTGTATATCGATTTTCAGGGCTTTTAGAAAAATACAGTAAAAGTATGGTATTACGTTAGTGTGTAAAATATAAAGCTCAGGAGAAAAGAAAAACTGTCAGAGCAAAAGAAATTGTATGTACAGATCTTCTGTACAGGCTTGAACGGCAAAGACACCTTCCCTTTACATATAAATGACAAATAAGTACTTCATACAAAAGTACCTTAATTGTACTACATTATTGTCATGATCTGAGTGCAACAAAAAGGCATTTTGAGTGTGGGAAGACAAAGGCAGTGAAACCATGTTCTTCTATCAAAAACAAAACAAAAAAATAGACAATATAACCAGGCTCAAGCCCATTTAAAAACAAAACAAAAAAAAACCTGTTCACTGGTGCAGAAGAGCTCTTTGATTTAAACATTGAAAGCCCTGAGTTCTTACGATTTCTTTTTGAAAAAAAGCTTTATCCAAAACTAGGTGTTAAGCCTAAGGGCTAGAGGAGTGTTGACTGTTCCATTATACGAAAATATGCGCTCATAAACATACAGTAAACGATCACAATTACAGCATTTTGGTGAATAACTGAGGACCATTCCTTGGCATATTTGATATGGCTACAAGCAGCTAAAAAAAGGTTGCTTTTATATCAAATTCTTTGCATATATATGACGTAATATTATGCAAAAAAGAAAATATGTTTGCACAATTATCCTATCCATTTTTCTTCAACCACAATATGTATTGAACCACTTGTACTTTGTATTAAAGTAAACCCCTAATTAAAATGGAATGTTCTTAAAGGCCGTTCGGCACCTTTCATTGTAACATGAGCTGTTTAAGGTTGTCGTGCAAGATGGTGTCTTTGACATCACGGAAGACGAGGCGAATGTTCTCTGTGTTGATGGCGGTGGTGAAGTGATAGTAAAGGGGCTTCTGCTGCTGTTCTCGGCGCTTGTTACGGAAGCACTCGACCAGGAACTTCTGCACATCCTGCAGACTGTGGGGCTCCCCAGTGAACTCTGGGAAGTAGTCCTTGATGCTCACGATCTGAACTTTATCTTCCAGCAAGTCTGTCTTATTGAGGAAGAGAATGATGGAGACGTTGGCGAAGACGCGGTTGTTGACGATAGTCTCGAAGATATTGAGCGACTCCGTGAGCCTGTTGGTCTGACGGTCTTCCATGAGCACCTGATCGTACTCGCTGGATGAGACTAGGAAGAGGATGGAGGTCACCGAGTCAAAGCACTCGAACCATCGCTTGCGCTCCGACCGCTGCCCTCCCACATCCACCATCTTGAAAGGTACATTCTTGATCTCAAAGTTGTACTCATGAATACCCTTGGTGGGTTTTCGTGCCAACAGTATATCCTTTTGGCTGGGCAAGTAGTCCTGCAGATTAAATGGAAACAAACATCAGACAGGCATAATACTAATCCAAATACTAAAAGGGTTTTAAAAATGTAGTACCTATATTAGGGGTGAGCGATATAACGGTAGTCAATATACTGGTAGAAATTCTATAGATACACACTAACAAAGGTATACATTCACGGATCATGGTTGTGGCAGTGCTGCATTGTCACGAAAGTGTATCTGCATGCGTTTTAAGCCTTGGCAGTTTAAAGGTACAGTAAGTGATTTCTGAGAAATTCTGTTGAAAATCAACACCTAAACAAACAATAGTGTGAATATTTGCTAGTGTTTACGCTTATGATGGGGTAGGAGAGAGAGTGAGCAAGCAGGTCATAAGTAAAAAAAAAAAAGGGCGGGGGGGCTGGTGGGGGGGTTACCAACAGGCAAGATTTAGGACCCATGTTAATATTGGAAAAGCTTTTCAGTGCTGGAGACACGTTAGAGAGCGGGAAGGCCTGAAAACGTAAGCCAAGGTTGCTTTGTTTCTGCTCGATATATATGAGTTACATTGGTTTTACTATGTTTCACAGAACCAAGATATGCTGTCGTTGGTTAGAGGTTAGTGGAATATATCTAAGAAATCAGTTTTTTTTTCATGCGGCTCGGGATTTTTTTTGGGCCTGCCCCCTAATAGTCGGCTGAATGTTAGTCGACTAGAAGAGGCTTAGTCGACTAAGATTTTATTAGTCGGAGAAAGGAAAAAAACTCCACAGGAAGTGGTGAAATCTCGTGGCCCGTGAGGGACAGATCGTTAACGGCGGGTCCTTGTGGTAATTACAGTATGTCGGGTAGGAAATCCAAACGTTCGGCTCTCATCCATCGACCTAAAATATGTTTTGAGCAAAAACAGTAATAATCTCATAAATGGTGATGTGTAGCTTGATGCTAATTGTAGCTCTAATGCACCTGTTACCCAGCTGTGATTTTTTTTAATGTATTTGGTCAAAAGAATTCTTGTAAGGTCTCGTAATAGATCATTTGTGTTTCTAGTGTAAACCCCACTTTGTTTATCTTAATTTGCAGTGGACAAGGTTAAATCAAATGGAAAAACCTACAAGATACATACACGAGGCAAAATGCATTCTCGCCAGCGCCACCTATCGTGCAGGCGTGAATTAGCCAAAGGCGATCAACCGTTTCGCATTTGCAGTAAAAGCCTCATTCGTCTGCGATCCGCTTTGCTTTAATGCATCGCACTCTGTGTGAAAGGGCCTTTACATGAATGTAAAAATTGGGTGGAAAACAGATGCGTAGATATATACAGAGGATGTCATACTGGGTCTGCTCAGTTCTTCTTAGTACTGCTTTATTCGGTTGCTCATTTTGTTACTTCTTATTCTCACATCAATTATTCATGTACAATCCATTTCTCTTCTTTGGGCTCTTCGGGCTTCGCATTTTGCACATTTCACTTCAATGCTAGGCCCAGTATCGCTGCTTGCAGCTTTTCATTTGTATCTTTGTTCTAATATATTTATTTTCACTACTGTTTGTAATTGGATTATTTGTTCTTATTTTATTACTGACCGTTCACATGCCAACAGTAAGCTTGAGAACTTTTAGTTTTTGCTATAATACCAATTTCAATATGACATTTAGAATTTTGATATCATAAGCTTATTTCAACCAAAAATAGGTATATTGTGATCTATATTGTGAAATAAAATAACTAATATTGTGATATAAGATTTTGGTCATATCGCCCACCCCTAATCTGTACCAATGTTACAATGCAATGAATCAGTACCAGTAAAAACCAATATATCACCCAATCTGATGTCTGTGGATCCAAAAATCTATTGATAACCTTGCTAATAAATAAATAATTTGTTCCCCCCCCTTTTCATTTTGAGAAGTGTCATTAAATTGTATCATGTACATACTGGTATAATACCAACTACCCTGTGCTCTAGATACTGGTACATGATGACATTAACATTTAAAGGAGAACTCCGGCGCAAAATGAACCTTTGGTCTAATAAAACATAGGTACCTAGTCAACCGTTCTCAGAGATTTGTTAATATTAAAAAGAAATCGCTAGTTAATACCACTAACAAGGCTCAAAATAGCCCCACACTAACACAGTAACATAATGAGGGTCCCTACATGCAAAACGAAGCATTGAGAACTTTGTAAGTGTACAGACCATTTAATAAGAAGATATTTTATAAAGACAGTCCACTTCGTGTATACAGACAGGAGCCATCTTTGGAAAACAGTCTCGACTAATCAAACCACGAACGCCATTCATACAGTTCAGAAGTTCACTGAACTTCATACAGTTCAGCTCACTTAGCACGTCGTTCCTGGTTTGACTAGTCGAGACTGTTTTCCAAAGATGGCTCCTGTCTGTATACACGACGTGGACTGTCTTTATAAGATATCTTCTTATTAAACGGTCTGTACACTTACAAAGTTCTCAATGCTTCGTTTTGCATGTAGGGACCCTCATTATGTTACTGTGTTCGTGTGGGGCTATTTTGAGCCTTGTTAGTGGTATTAACTAGCAATTTCTTTTTACTTATTAAATGCCCCCATTACTAGCGTTACACGCTAAACAGTTTTTAGAGATAAAACTCTTTACATTCGATTATCATGAAAACAAATCTCAGAGAACGGTTGACTAGGTACCAATGTTTTATTAGACCAAAGGTTCATTTTGCGCCGGAGTTCTCCTTTAAGAAATACCATTTATTTTTACCGATTGTCCAAGTTTATCCACATTGTCCAGGAAATATTTCACAGATTCACCCTAAAGAGAAAAAAAGAGACAATCATAATTAGGTATTTGTTATGTGAACTGTGGTGCAGAAGGTTAAGCTTTGACTGTGTTGTGCTGTGCCTCAATAAGCCCTATTTTTTTTATCCTTTCCTGAAACTCTATATAATCATATATAAAAAAAGCCCAATTAAAAAAATTTTTTTTATACATATATATTTATAGAGAGAGAGAGAGAGAGAGAGAGAGAGAGAGAGAGAGAGAGAGAGAGAGAGAGAGAGAGAGAGAGAGAGAGAGAGAGAGAGAGAGAGAGAGAGAGAGAGAGAGAGAGAGAGAGAGAGAGAGAGAGAGAGAGAGAGAGAGAGAGTACACACAGTGTCATACATTTTCCACCACATTTGCTGGTCCAAGGCAGACACCTATTATGTTATACTAATTTGCTAGATTACTTTGGCCCTCGTAAGCAAAAACTGGTAAGTGAGTTTTCAGGAAAATAAAGCACAGCAATATGGCCTCTACTGGTTTGCTTTGTGAAGTATGCAAATCAGCCTTAGGTAGAGAAAGTTACTTAGTCACTCGCTTAAATGTACCAAAAAATTAATGTTTATCACTGAATAAATACGGATAAACATGCTAATCACAACCTGTACAACAATGGAGATTTTTAGTAGGAAAATGAGCTATATCCTAATCCTTATCTAAGTCACAAGGGTTCTACCCCTGAACATGAATGATGCTATCTTCATAACTGACATGCAAACTGAACTCATGCGCAGCCACAGACAAAACAAAACCCTCACTGTCATGACTAACAAGGCAGCTTATTTGTGTTTAACTCACACCGGTGAATTACTCTCAGGTTTCAATCACAGTCAATATCAGCAAACACAAACTTAAGTTCCTTTTTGCATCATCAGTCCAATAAATTCAAGAATGGCCCCTACTACATTTCAAATGTATGAAAAATATAAGTAGGCATTACACCATGATTAATGCTATGTGTATGGAGTGTACTGCTGGCACACAAGCTTGATAGGAGTAATTATGCAAGTACACTGTGCTTATCTGCCTTGATTCATAATACCAAGCTATTTAACAACAGATCAACATTCCTTCAAGATCACAACCCCCACAATTACACAAATCCTATGAAAAAGATTGAGTGGATGGATTCTAGATCCAAAACTTTACTTCTTGGTGACTAAGAATAAATGAAAAAAGATGCACAATAATTTAGAAGGTTTAATAATAAATATATAATTATGAGTGATCATTTCATTTACCAGCTGAAACTCTCTTCGTCTGTCATAGGCATCCTGAATACCACTGTCTTGCCACAGGGCACAGATGGTGGGCAGGTAGTTCAGAAAGACTTTGGTCTCCACCATCCCTTTGGCCATCAAGGACGAGCGAGTGTCAAAGCCCATAATTGTCTCCCCGTGAACCTGATTCTCAGGATCTCCCCAAGGGATGTGCAGCTTCTCACGGGCATCCACCAGCACCCGGACACCTAAACAGGACATTTTTCAGTAATTAGGATACTACAAAAAATAAACTTGAGGTTGCTGACATAATGACCTTAAAAAAGAAAATGAAACAGTTACTATGTATCCTCAGACCATAATGTCTCCTTTTGTCAACACACTCAAATTTATGAAAAATCATAGTCCGTCTCCATCCTGAAAAGGTTTTTTTCTTTCTTTTAATATTTCCCTTTTTTATGAGTTCTAATGCGTTTTATAATTAAAGAAATATACAAAACAAACATATTAAAAACAACTGTTCTTATATGCATGTGTCAACCTCATCACTCAAACTGTAAAGAAATTGTTAGGGCTTTTAGGTAATTTCCCATATTTGTAAGTAGCTCTACATTTAATAAATGGTATATGTTTTGACTGTACATATTAAATAATCCGTATATCCATTAATTTATGTAAGTGGACATACCTATAATAAATACATGTTTGTATTTAATGATGTTGACTCATATTGAGGGAATGAAAAAACAAGCATTTTGTTTGAAAATGGAAGCAGGACCTAAACATGACTGAAAGTGAAAATATATATATATATATATTAGCAAAACAATTCCGGGTTCTGTCGCCTGTTTTTTCATGTATGTCTCAGGAATCAGTGGTATATTGAGGTACACTTATCAGAATATGTCATAAAACAATCACACATACAGATGACTAAGTTAACCCAGACCAAAAGTAGGCGCTGTACTCTGCACTTTCTCTATGAGGCGCCAAGTTTTCTGAAAGGTTTTATGTCATACTCGAACAGTGTCTACAAACACAAATGTTTTTTTTTTAAACAGTCGTTTCATTTTCCTTAGTCAAATTTGTTATCTGACAATGCAAAACAGGGGTTGAACAATAGCAACATTTAAAAGCACTGGCCTTCGCGTCGTCTATGGGCTGGGTGAGCAATCGAAAGTTTGCGTAAGTTAAGTGAAAGGAATCGACTCGATAAACAGTTTCACCTGCCGCTGAAATTACTTTGACCGTTCATTTTCAATAAATGTCTCTCTCGATTTCAAGTTATTGTCGTGGTACCTTTGATAACATTGCTGTAGATTGTAGCCCGGAACTCTTCTTTGGCCCGCTGATCGAAGTCCTGCCCATGAATTATGCGCATTTGTTTGAGGAAAGTTGACTTGCCACTTTCGCCTGCTCCTAACAGCAAGATCTTTACCAGTTTCTTCACATAAGTCTTCTCTCGAGACAGGCTTTTGTCGATCTCCTTAGACTTCCTAATTTGATCAATTTCGCTGTTGGAGAGAAGACAATTGGGAATACAAACTATAGCAGTCCGGGAGGGCAGGAAATCCGCCATCTTTGTAGTAACGACTTCATGGATACATCACTCGCACTGCCGCGCGCGGCGCGTTCACGTGTTCCGCAAAAATGGGCGGATACCCGGGTGTGGTTTAATGTTTTGGAAATACTTTTTTTTTTAAATCCTTGTCAGCTATTTTTTATCATTAAGATTTATTGAGTATAATAGACCATTCCTATTTTTATTCCACGGCATGTCCTAATATATTGGATAAAATATAGAAAATAGTTTAGTGTTCTTTAAACACAGTTGATAAAGTGAACAAATCAATTTCATTACTTTGGTTTGAGTGGATGTTGCCATTTTGCCATGTCCCTAACACCACTTCTGACATGAAAACTACCAAATGTATAGGTATTACAGGTTTTGTCTTTATTTCTTTATTTTCTGCAATCAAAAAAATTCTAACAATTTTATTATTTTTACATCTGCATATCACTTATAAAATATTTTGCAATGTCAATTTAACAAGCAAAAGTAAGTTCTTTAATGACATCTTTTAGTATTATAGCAATGGTTTTGATAAAAATGATATTTTGTGATTGGTTGCTCTTACTCCGTCCTGTTTGGTAAAATTGCAGTGATCAATATTTCAAAAGTAATGTAAACCAACTCCCAATCTCTCACAGAGCAGTGTCTAACTTTAGGTTTTTATTTTCATCTTGTTAGGCTTTTTTTTTCAATTGGAATTGCCATCGTGTAGCCTAAATAATGAATTTATAATTGGTGTAACAAAGTTTTAGTGTCTGAACTTGGTATCAAGCCAAGAGCATATTTATAAGTCTGCTACATACTTTTATATCAATACCTCCTCGAATTACAACAACACAAGCAATATTCCTTTTTAATTAAATTTTTTAAAAGGTAATAATAGGCTAATGAATGTCCCAGTTGGTCAAACAATTAAAGGAATATTTCACCCAAAAATGGAAATTCTGTTATCATTTACTCACCCTCAAGTTGTTCCAACCCTGTATTAGTTTCTTTCTTCTGCTGAACACAAAAGAAGATATTTAAAAAAAAATGTTGGTAACCAAACAGTTGATTAATTAGTTAACGGACCCCATTGACTTCCATATTCTTTTTTCTAGAAGTCAATGGGGTCCATCAACTGTTTGGTTACCAACATTTTTTCAAAATGTCTTCTTTTGTGTTCAACAGAAGAAAGAAACTCATACAGGTTTGAAACAATTTAAGGGTGAGTAAATGATGAGAGAATTGAAATTTTGGGGTGAACTATCCCTTTAATGTAAACATGTTGCCTTCACAAATGTGATTTGCTTTTTCTTCTCAATAAAACTTTTTTATATATAGAAGATACGCATAATAACATGGTTTATGGTCTATAATCTTAAATCCAGCTCAGAGGCTTTTGTTTTCTTTCCATTATGATCGTGTACAGTTTGTTTGCACATCATCATCCTCAGGTGCTTTCACGTGAAAACAACGAGACCAGCGCCATCTACCGGAGATGACGTGTTAGTGTAATCACCAGGGTTATCACTGCTTTCTGCGTACAGGTTTACCTACACGAGCAGAGCTGTTACCTGATTGGCGCACACAGTCATCGTCTTTGTGTGCATCAGTGATGATTATAGATTAGACATTACCTCCCGAGTATTTCCCATTTCATTCCCTCGTCTACGAGCGTCGAGAGACTGGCGTGAAGAAGCGAATATGACCATAAGGAATGTGCGGGACCATGGGCAGCGTTATAGACCGCGCATGGCATGCCTGAAGAAGGTGGGTTGGAGCTCCATCTATATGGCTCATCACCATCTGTGTTATTTACATTCTCGCCAATGAGTTAAGAATAATGTTACATTTGATTTATATAATCTAACAAATAGTATTTCAAGCCTTAAGGTCTAATGATATTTTTGCTGGTTTTGGTCCTGTAAAGTGTAACTGAGCGCACCAATATAATTAGGCTACTTGAATTCATATGATCGTGTAGGATTAATTAAAGATGCCCATTTCACTTTCTATGGTGATTTCCATCTATTCCATCCATTCAGAATTTTAAAGCATCCTTTTCTATGCTAATAAAAATATATTGTTGCCTTGTATCAGAAATTATATTATTTTGAAAAGTATTCTAACACTGTCCATGTTTTGGTCACAGAGGAACTTTTTAATGAATTAGATTGATAAAAATGGCAAAGTAAATTGCGTTTGTCATGTTTGTTTTGATTGATTTAATTGTTGTTGCATTTATTGTACGTTGTTTCCAAGTCAGGATTTTTTTATTGATGATTTGACACTCCATGTACATTGTTTTCTTTTTTGTGAGCTTGTAGATATATGTTTTAAATGTTTTCCAGTTACAAAATAGATTTTATTATTACTTCTGACCCACAACGATTCAATCAAACACTTCTATTTAAAATTAATTAATTGTGAATGAAATAATACATATTAATTTACAAATCAACATTAAGGTTAAATTGCTGTATTAATAACTGAAATCAAAGTGGATTTATGAATGGATGATGAACAAAAGAGTTAATGGAAAAAAATGAACTCACACAATCAATTTATAAATTAAACACATTGTTACAATTCAAATGGATTCTAAAGATGTTATGACCTAATAATAAAAACACTTTTTACATTGATAGGTGTTCATTGTTTATTAGCAGCTTACTCTCAGAAAAGGTCACCGTGTGCTAATAGTATTAGTATAGCTTTGTCATGAGCCTCTGGTATAATGCAGTCCCTCTTCTATACGATACTTAAAACCTTCAAACCCGACAGTATGATCCACTAGACCATATATTATTGGTGCACTACTTTGCTCTTGACCAATGCACTGATAATGACCCAATGACTCGGCCAAGAGCTTTCTGTGATCCATACCAGAGTGTAGCAGTCTTCAAAAGCCAGAGACCCTGACAAAGCATGAAAAACTTCAAACAGCTGAGTCACAAATCAATCACTGAGTATATTTCAAAGGGGTCAGCCGCAGCCCCTTCAGTCCATAAACCAGCAGGGAAGACTTCACGGTGGAATAATTTAGTGAGACGTGCACACAGGCTGCCACAAGGTAAAAAGGCCTAGAAGGACATTTGTCATCATAGATTTTGTATTCTCAAGACGTTCTCATGTTGCACGTCCCATTTTTTCCATGTTAGGTGGAGACTGTGGTGTTGGAGATGCAGGACCCCAAAACTGGAGTGAAATCTCAGACCCAGAGGCTTGTTATCACAACCATCCCACATGCTATAACAGGTGAGATCATCAAAAATGGCTGCCGTTTACATCAGTTGGTACTATTACTCAAGAAGGAATCTTAAGAAAAACTAGAAGAAAAATGTGAGATGTGAGACGCAGCATCTTAGTGAAGGATAGTGGGCTCCCCTACTTATTTGTATTGATTTCTGCAGTTGTATTACTCCTCGGGAGTGCTAGTCATCTGTGCGGTCCATGCATTTAGAGTCTGTTTATGTGGGTCTGAGACTGAAGAATCTATTGCCATGACAACCTTTGAGCAGTAATGGCTGGCTGCAATGACTCTCTCCTCTAGACTGCATGATTTCAGGAAGGAGAGCTCTTGTAATCTCCACTCTTGGTCTTAAATGCTGCCAGCCAACTACATACAGCAACATAAACTACATTGCTTAAAGGGTCAGTTCACCCAAAAATGTCATTAATTCTGTCATTAATTACTAGGGGTGTGCCAAAAAATCGATTCACAGAAGAATCTAGATTCTCATTTGCAACGATTCAGAATCGATCTGAAATGTCCAAGAATCGATTTAATAAATAAATAAAATCAGCTGGCTGTTCGCCTCCATTTTTGTAACTATAGCCTATACGGGACGTCCGGACGTCATGCACGCAGCCGGTTTTTGAACGTGAGCGGCAAATCAGAGGAAGCAAATATGGATGCTTCAATGAAGCTTCTGATGCTTCTAAATATGATGCTTCTACATTCATTCTGCCGTGGCCGGCCGCCACACCTAAAATAATCCCGCCACGGCTGCAGCTTCTCAGTGAGGTCCGATATTAATGTGATTGTGTTATTGTTAAGCTAAAGGCATAATAAACATTGTAAAGCACCATAAAGTGTTCGCACTATATTCCAAGACTTCTAAAGTCATTCAAGAGCATAATGTGAGGTAAAAATGAATATTTAAGTCGTTAGTTAAAGTTAATGGAAACTCATCTCTCCTCAGTCATTCTCCATTCAGCATTCACACAGCGCGTCGCGTTATAGCGTTTTCTAAATCATAATCCTTTCTCCCGGGTGTCTGTTAGATTACAGCACTGGAGTAGAGAGCGCTATGAATTGTTCTTCATGCGCACTGTAACTGAAATTTAAAACTGTTAAAAGAAAATGCTCAATAAACTGTTGCATATATATAATACATTAAGCATAGATAGACAGATATAATCTCTTCGCTTTGTGCTTTGAACTTTTCAATCCGGAGCGCTGCGCGCTGTGACTTCACGTTGCTTCAAGTGCATCATTCTGCGCACGGGATGCGCATAATCGCTTTGCCGCTCTTATTCGAGCCTTTCATGTTATAATGTTATAATACTTAGGGGAGGTTTAAACACCTGGGGTAAGGGGGCGTGGCCAATGGGAATATCACTCATGGGCAACGCCCCCTTACCCCAGGTGTTTAAACCTCCCCTAAGTATTATAACATTATAACATGAAAGGCTCGAATCGCAGATATAGACAGATATAATCTCTTCGCTTTGTGCTTTGAACTTTTCAATCCGGAGCGCTGCGCGCTGTGACTTCACGTTGCTTCAAGTGCATCATTCTGCGCACGGGATGCGCATAATCGCTTTGCCGCTCTTATTCGAGCCTTTCATGTTATAATGTTATAATACTTAGGGGAGGTTTAAACACCTGGGGTAAGGGGGCGTGGCCAATGGGAATATCACTCATGGGCAACGCCCCCTCCCCCTGGCGAAATGGGCCTGCCACCACAGCTGGAAAAAATCCTAGAGGAAACACTGGTCTCCGTTTGTCATTCTGTATAGCAAAGCAGATGAGAGTAGATCATGATCAGAAACCCGATTAGAAATCATTATGGATAAAATCGAATCGTTTTAAATCGAAAATCTTTTTGAATCGAAAATCGATTTTGAATCGAATCGTGGCCTCAAGAATCGGAATCGAATTGAATCGTGAGATGGTAAAAGATTCCCACCCCTATTAATTACACACTCAAGTCGTTCCAAACCCGTAAGACATTCGTTTAGATTCGTAACACAAATGAAGATCTTTTTAAGGAAATCTGAGAGCTTTGAAGGGACACATACGCAGCGCCGCTGCTCCCACCACGCGCATCACGCGCTGTGCGTAGGGCACCAAGTGCTGAGGGGGCACCAAAAATAGCCTAATGAAAAATAAATCATCATAGTCATAATAATTATAATGCCGATGTTATTTCAGTATAGAAATATTATTAGGCACTTTTTACGCATCTACCACTTTCAAGCCCCAGAAAGGTGGGAAAGTCATGTTAAGCGGTTTAACCTCAATTTCATGAAGCAAAAAAAACCATATACCACATTATTTACGCGTTCACGCAACAACGTCAATACAACACGTATGCATCGTAGTGCTGTCATTAACGTGTGATTGAAAAATGATATTTTGTCAATAAAAGGGTAAAAAAAAAATGTGTGCAAACAAAGCACTTGGTGTTTTTTTTATACAATTGAGGTTAAACCACTGGAGTCACATGGATTACTTTATGATGTCTTTGCTACCTTTCTTGGGCTTGAAGATGGTAGTTGCGTAGCTGTTAATGAAGGGACAGAAAGCTCTCAGATTTCATTAAAAATATTTTCATTTGTGTTCTAAAGATGAACGAAAGTCTTACGGGTTTGGAACGACATGAGGGTGTGTAATTAATTACCGAAATTTCATTTTTGAGTAAACTAACCCTTATAAACTTAATTGGAGCCTGTGATTCTTCACAGCATTTATATATATATATATAATTGATTTATTGGAAAGACACCCAAGGTTTTTATTTAAAAATTCATTGAAATGGTATGGTATGCTCCTCAGGCTAGCAGGCACTAATGAAGCCACTCAGATTCACCCCTGCAGAGATCTTCTCATTAGTCTCCTATCACGAGGACCTCAGCGGGACGCACACTGGTGGACCAAGCCATAGTGCGATACCTATTTTGAGAATGCACCTTAGTTTTGTGTCTAATACTCACTGTTGTTTTGCCTGTAATGCTTTGATGAATCTCTTACTTGAAAGCCTGCCTGAATAAATATAAATTATACTTATAAATTGTAAATAAATTATAATCTCAGCCTCTATTTTTGCTTCCAATTTAGCATTTCTTTCACTTATACTCCTCTCTTCGACTTTTAGTTTCTCATTATGTTTCATACGTATATGCTTATATTAGTATTGATTGACCGTCATGAGACTTCTCTCCAGTGTTATTTTAATATCACTGATAGTTTTTGTTAATATTTAGAAAATATTTGTATATTTTCCATTTAAATTTCAGTGAAATTGTATTTGTTTAATGGCCTAGAAAAACAAGCGCGGAGCCATCTATAGAATCTTTAGAACTTCTGTTTTTGCTGTAGCTCTGTATATTTATATGGCATCGCAGAAAAGAGTAATTTACTGGTGAAGGGCATTAACTTGTTGTACAGTTAACAAAAGTTATCATGAGCATTGTATTGTTGGATGCGGATGCGACGTCATAACAATGTCAATAGACTGGGAATTTTTTTTAAATGAGCAGTTCGTTCATGAATCCGTAAGATCTTACCTTCATGCTGTCGTAAAAACAAACCGGAAGACAGAACACAACGAGCGCAGAGCTAAAAAGGGGCTAAAAATTTATTTTAGTACATCAAGTTTAACTAAATGAAATAAAGCTTTTTTTATATTTTATTTTATTTTTGTTAACATTTATTTTATTTCAAGTGTTTAATTTTGGTCACACTTTAGATTTGGGTCCAATTCTCATTATTAACTCTTATGACTTCTGCCTAAACAAACTCCTAATTACTGCTTATAAATAGTTAGTAATGTAGTTGTTAAGTTTTGGTATTGGGTTGGATTAAGGGATGTAGAATATTGTCATGCAGAATAAGGCATTCATATGCGCTTTACTAATAAACAGCCAATATCCTAGAAGTGTTCATGCTAATAAGCAACAAGTTAATAGTGAGAATTAAACTAATGTGTTACCTTAATTTTGTTTTAGTTTTAGTTGATTATAGTAACCCTGCTTCTCTCTCTATAGTCTCTCATGGTGTGTGTGTGTACTGATAAATCCTGGTGGGCAGATTCAATCTGAAGGCCAATTTTCCCACCCACTGATAGTCTTTTATTGCTCTGAAATGTTGTTTATTGCGTATATTGTTCTTTCAGGGGAAGATATTGTTGCATGGATTGCTAATCGATTAAAAATAGATGCTTCGGGTAAGTCAAGTACATTGTTTTTTTTTTTTTGTATAATAATGATAAGAATATCTCCCAGTCAAGGTCTGTTTATTACAGATCTGCTTAAAGAAATTCATTCTAGTGCTATAAAATATGATGGTACTGTTCATTTTGGGTACTGTTACTGTTTTGGTCTTGCTTAGATAAATTAAGTAACTTTCTCACACTTAATGTTTAGAGGCCCAAGCTATGGGGACCATGATGGTGGCGTTTGGGTACATCTATCCACTACAAGATCATAAGAGACTTATCATTAAACCAGACACATCCCTGTATCGCTTTCAGGTAACTTGAAATATTAAATTGACCAAAAGTGACAGTAAAGACATTTCTAATGTAACAAAAAAATTATATTTCTAATAAATGCTGTTCTTTTGAACACTCTATTCATCAAATAATTAATCAGCTTTGCCATCACAGGACTAAATTACATTTGAATATATATTACAATAGAAAGCCATTGTAATTTTATTAATATTTCACAGTGTTTCTGTTTTTACTGTATTTTGATCAAATAAATGCAGCCTTTGTGAGCATAAGAAAAAAATCTTAATGAAGCCTTTCAACACATTTTGATAGCACTTTTTGCAGTGCCTTATGACTTGACACAGTGTAAATACTAATCTTTTACATTTTTTCCATACATTTCTTCTTCCAGACACCATATTTTTGGCCTGCACAGCAATGGCCAGTGGAAGACACAGACTATGGTGTGTAATCATCTTTCATTTTCCATGCATGCTGATACGTTGTCATTGCAATAATTCACAGTGAGGTTATTCGTTATGCTTTCAAACAGCTGTCTGAGATAAAGAATTTGATAAATTGTTTTCTTGTTGAGTCACATCACATCTTTCAATTGGCTTTTATTGGCAAGGTCAGATGTTTTTATGTGCTTTTCCAGCAATCTATTTGGCAAAGAGAAATATACGCAAGAAAGGGATGTTGGAGCTGTATGAACAGGTAATACCACGTCATATTCTTCATTGTCTTAATAAATATATTAATTTCTCTGAAATCTTTTGCTAAAATAAAACCTATTATGTTGTAATAATGCATAAAAAAGATTTTTAATTTACTATAATAAACTGCATGACAAATTACTATACTTAGGAAGTAAAACACAAAATAAATACATATGACATCAAATTTGTCTGTTTCTAAACCCAGGAAGAGTACAACAATCTTTACAAATGGATGAATCACAAGTGGGATTTTATTGTAATGCAGGCCAAAGAGCAGTACAGGTGGGTCACACGTGCTTTACTTAAACTATTGGAGAATATTTATGAATTATCATGGATCAATCCGAGAATGGGTCTCATTCACTAATTCAGTACGTGAATTATTTGAAGTTATACTACGGGCTGTTGAATGCTTGAATCTGATTGGTTGACGAACGTTCTAAGGTGTGCAATTTGTTTCATGGAAATGCACAGCGAAAGTAGTTCCAGGCTGGTCTCTTGACCACATTACAGTTCCATATCACTTCGCCAAATGATTTTAGTCATTTCAAAGGTCTTTACAGCCTTCAGAACCAAAACCCACAACGACACTGACCGAGCAAATAAATATAGTAAACAATAGGATAAAGACGACAAATTATTTGTTATTTGTTTTTTGCCAGAAAATTACGTTTTATCATGTACGGACAGCACATACTCTCTTTCTCCCAAGATCTTCTCACAAAACATTTCCGCAAGATTCACAATTAGGTGCATACACACATCAATTTGTTCATAAATTTGGAGTATTCTAAATGAGCAACCGCATGCCTGATTTTTGTTATTTGCATAAAACTGTGAGAAAAGATGCTTTCTTTTCATCTTTTCATTCTTTTCTTGATGTTATCAATATAACATAGTATATATAATATACAATAATTTCATATAACAAGGCCTATTGCCTATTTGTATAGGGCGGGTAAGGAGAGGAAGAAGCCGGACCGGGTGGTTTTTGACTGTCAGGAACGGGCCTACTGGGTTGTACATCGGCCACCGGTCAGTTACCTCTGGACTGGAATTTTAAGGGATTCGTATTATCTTGCTATTTTTCTAATTCTGATGTCAGGCTCTGGTTAAATAAAGCTTCAGAACATTAGAAAGACAATATAGTTAAGTATAAGTGTGTTATTTACACAGCCCGGAACGGTTAGTGCCATGGACCATGGACTCGACAGGATGGTCGACCCCAATTTGGTGGAGGTAAAGGTATGTGTGACAATTAATTATAACTTATAAGGAGCCAAAATAGGTAATTTTTTAAAAGAAATGGCAAAATTATGACAAGTAGGCTTTCAAAATATTGTGTGTCTGATGAATCTTGTAATGAAACAATGGACTGTATAACCAACATTAACAGATATTACTGCTGAGATTATCAAGGCTAGGCTTATCAAGGATATTTCTTGAATGTCAGCTTATATCCAATAGGATTTAAATGATCATAATCTCTATTTAGCACTTCAAATGTCTCACTGTGTTCAATAAAATAGGCTTGTCTTACACCCTTTCTCACATTCTTTTCTACAGATTTGATTCCTAAACTTACATGTAGAAGCACATGTAATCAGATGACTTCGAAATGAAAGCACATTCTCAATGGATCATAAATTGGGCGCTGTGTAATTGAAATATGAATACCTGCTTTTAAAATGACATTGCAAGTCCACAAAGCAACCATATTCACTCTCTCTTCACTCATAACCCAAACATGTTCAAATGTCAATATTTTGCTTTTAACACTATCCTCTAGTATGAGTCACCATTCCCTTTCTTTGAACTTAAACTGCTTCTAAAATTGTTTTTCAGAAAAAAACACCTGACTACTACAGAAGAATTGTAAGTACCAAAGAACTAGCTCAAATATTTAGTTGTAAAAGACAATGATCAAATATAAAATTCGTTTCATTGTTTTCTTGCAGATTATGTTCACGCAGCAGTGTATCATGAGACCAAGGGTGAAGTCATCTGTGTCGATTGGAGCGTATGTTACTGTGATATAACAATTCCTGATCAAGAATTCTGCACTAAAAAACATATTTTTTATCATTTAAATATATAAAATAGTTTAATATATAATTATATAAATATTTTGTATTAAATATCTTTAAAGTCCCCCTGCAGTCAATAAATGTATCCCTCAAAACTCATCTTTGATCACCAAAATACATACATATTTAAACGTTTTTTTCTGTGAAAAAAAATCTTCATACCTTCAAATAGCTTGAATGTAACTCTACACCCTTGTCTCATTTAGAATACGCAGTTCTATGAATATGCAGATTAGCCCCGCCTCCACTCACTCACACGTCCACTCGTTGACGTGATTGGTTACAAGGTAGTTTGTGATGTCAGAAACATCAGCATTTTTGAGACTGTATTTGGTTCACTGCCGTTTTAAGGAGGAAATACTCAGCAATGGTGTTGACTTATGAATTTGCACATGGTTTGTCTTAAAGCATATTAAAAACACCACATAGACATATAAACAACATTAAAAGCTTTTCACCACAGGGAAAAAGATTGTCACCACAGGGAGGACTTTAATATATTTGAATAATTTTTACAATTTATTTTCAATTTTATTGTAATCTTTTGCAGACTTGTTAAGTACTCGACAACATACAAAGAGCATGACCCATTTCTCAACTCCTGCCTCCCAAGTAACCCCTGGATAACGGATGATATTACATACTGGACCCTCAACATGCCAAAGTGAGCTCCAATATCTTAAAAGTGTTTCAATATCAGAACATTTTAATTTTGAATAGTAGCAATTTTTTTCCTCATTTAAAAACTTGATGATAATGTACTTTGTGTGTTTGGTTCATACAGTGTTGAGACCCCTACTAAAATGAGAGTGGAGCGCTGGACTTTCAGCTTTGGAGAATTGCTTTCTGACCCTCGGGGAAGGGATGATTTTCGCCTCTTCCTTAAAAAGGAGTTCAGTGGTATGTATTATTCTAAAATAATTTACAATGTTGGCTTTTTTTTTTTTAGGTGACTTGAGTGAGTTCTGCCCTTTTTAAGAATGGAATTAAATGGTTGATATTCAAATTCAAAACTGCAATAACTTTCATTTATTAGGGGAGGTTGTGACTATAATCTGATTGGTGAATAGGTGAGAATCTTGCCTTCTGGGAGGGATGTGAGGATCTGAAATGGGGTGCTGCAGAGACAATGAAAGAAAAAGCTCAGCAAATTTACAAGTAAGCATCACATTTTGGCCTTTTGGCAAAATAATATACAGATATTATATTATATAATATTAGTCACGGTTTTGTCCACAAAGATGATGAATATAGGCAAATTCAATCTAAATGCAATATCACTTTAATAAGCTTAAAGAAAAGCAAAACACTCCAATGAGTAAAAGACATAACAATGTGCACTTAGGGGCCATTTACATGACACTGTTTTCATTTAAAAACGGAATACGTTTTATGCGTTTTGGGCGATCATTTACATGACAACAGTGTTTTGGTGGCATGAAAATGCAAACTTTTGAAAACAGGTTTCCAAGTGCAAGTTTTTGAAAACGACACCCTTATCATCTCCGTGTAGCTAAACTACAGAAACGCGAATCTGTTGAAACGGTGATGTCATTCATATGCGTAAGCTATTACTTGTTTAGTCTATAGTTTTTTTTAGGAAAGTATACAGATATTAACAGTAAGAATCCTCACATTCACAAGTGGTTATAAGGATTACACAAATCAACACAATATAACATTTTGTCATCATGAAAAAATGAAAGGTTCCTTACAACAGACTCAGATATGTTTTCGAAGCCTTTCGTGTTTTAAAGGTTTTGACATTTTCTTAAAGGAAGTAAAAATGGACTTTATATCAGAGGAGAACATTCTAAAATTGGGATTACAGTGAATGTTTCTGTCTCTATAAAGTAATAATAAAGCAAAGTAATAATAAAGATTAACATCCTAAGAGTGAAAATCGGACAAAAAAAATGATAGAATGCACTTTAGTAAAAGAATGCGTATGTGCGCAGGCGCATAGTCTTTCTTTACAAAGTGACATCCCCAACAACTTGTCTGGCTTGCACAATACAGTGTTATTAGTCGTTTTCGTGGCTCCATAAAACGTTGATAAAACATGATAACGTTGTCATCTGTACAAAGAAAAACTTTTCTGTTTTTAGCACATCTTTGTCGTGTAAACGTACCCTTAAACATAAACAATACACCAGACCCAGAACTGAAGGAAATGAGGAACTTAAATGCACAATGATAATTAACCAAACTACAAGCAGGTGCTAGCAGTGCTAATTAATCACTAACCCTAGAAACAAATAAAGAGCAGGAAAATGAATCAAAGGAAACTGGAAACCAATGATAAGCATACTAAAGTTCTTGAAACTGAAACTAAAACACATCTAATTAAGAATAACTGTGACAATAGTGCACTACTGTTCAAATGTTTGGAGTCGATTTTTTAGTGTTTTCGTGAGGAATCTCTTATCTAGGCTGCATTTATTTGATCAAAAATACAGTAAAAAATAACAGTTTTTTTATTTTTACATATTTTAAAATATCATATATTCCGGAGGTTTTTCAGCATCATTACTCCAGTCTTCAGTGTCACATGATCTTTCAGAATTCAATATAATATGCTGATTTAGTGCATATTTATAATGTTGAATACAGTTGTGCTTAAAAAGAAAATACGGTATACAGTAAATTTTTTTGTAACATTTGTCTTTATTGTCAATGCATCGTTGCTGAATAAAATATGAATTTCATAACAATTTATATACTATATATATATTTTTTTTTTAAAATATTAAAATATGTATATTTTAATATATGTTATGTTTTCCATTTTCTCTACATGTTTTAACCATTAATTAAACCATTAATTACATTAGCATTTAATCCAGTCATTTTTACTCTTATTTGATTAGGACCTTTTTGGCTCGTGGAGCTCCACGTTGGATCAACATTGATGGCAAAACAATGGACATAACAGTGAAAGGTTTGGCACATCCTCACCGTTATGTACTGGATGCTGCCCAGACTCACATTTATATGCTCATGAAGAAGGTATCTGATCTCTTGTAAAACTTTGCACTTAAAATGCTTGTAGCCTTTACGAATGAAATTAATGTTAGCTATGATCTGACGTTTAAGGACTCGTATGGGCGATATCTCAAGTCCCCGGTGTTCAAGGAAACTCAGAAGAAGGCCGTTGCTCCCGAAGCACACAGATTCAGGTTAGATGTGCCTTTCTGTTAGTTCCTAATATATATTTATATATATATAAACTGCTTTATAATACATAAGTGACATTAAGAAGGATCTTTATTCCTTTCTAATATCTTGTAGTGAGACACAGTTGGAGCAGAATTCCAAGAGAAGGCGTCCCAGTCTGAGTCCCATTATGCTGAGACAGCAGGAGGAAGAACAGAAAGCCAAACTTGCAGCAAGTGGACCGGTGGACATCACACAGGTCATGAGCAAACTGGAAAAGAAACAGAGAAAATGAAAGGAGGCCGAGCAAAAATAGAATAGATTTTAACAAATATTTATGATAAACAAAAAGGAGAACCACCATTCTGGTCAAAGCAATAAACTATTTTGCAAGCCAATATGTTTATATAGGGAGCAATAGAGATTTTGTTGCTATGCTAATGCTATGTCTGTAATATCACACAGATATTTCTAGTTTTTGAAAGCTTGCTTGATATATTTTTAAAATGTCATCAATTTATGCAATCCATTTTGCTTTTTTATTAGGCCATTGTGTTTTACTCTTTCCCAGACTTGTTTACTCATTCACAATAATTTTAAACATTTATGTCATATTTATGTTTTGTCAAACTTTATACATGTATAATACATGTTTATACATGTGCAAAAATTATCAGATATTGCCCTGCTCATTACTAAAGTTTGTTTTTGTCTCATGTTTGTTCCATGTTTGTAGCAGTTTCCTTGTAAATCATTACTTTATTGAAATATATAGTAAAACCATTTCTGCCATCTGTGGTCACATCATGTGTCTTTGTCATTCATGATTGTTTTTGAGTGAAATGTACAGTATATATGTATCTCATCATGTATCTCATCAGTGTGTGCATAGTTACCACTTGTCAAAATACTGGCCTGAAAGGAAATGAACGTGCAATTTTTTTGTGTGATTTCTGAAATATTATGTCATAATTTACTCACTTTCATGTGTTTTGAAACCGGCATGACAGTGTATTTCGAGAGCACATAAGCAGATATGGATAAGATATAATAAGAACAGGATGTCCAAGCTGCTTATTTCCATTCAATGAAAGTGAATGGTGACCTTGACTGCCAAGCAAGATTTTCAAGCCAACAGTATCAGTGCAGGACAAGTCTTCTTTTGAAGCTTGACAACCTCTGGCCCCCATTCACTTTCATTGTATGGAAAAAAAGCAGCATAAATATTCTCCTAAACCTGTCCTGTTGTGTATGACAGAAGAAATAAAGTCAAATGGGTTTATTACAACATGAAGGTGAGTAAATGAAAATAATAAAATAAAATAGACATGCCTCCGCTCACTTTCCCCTTTCATCACCAACATAATCAACTCCTCTCTGAACTCCGGTATTGTACCCTCACCTCTCAAGCTTGCTGCCATCACCCCCATATTGAAAAAACCTGGTCTGGACCACATTCCCAACAGCTACCGTCCCATCTCAAACCTCCCTTTTCTGTCCAAAATCTTGGAACGAGCTGTTGCTACTCAACTTCAAAATCACCTCAACTCCAATAACCTATATGAACCGTTCCAATCCGGCTTCCGCTCTAAACACAGCACCGAAACTGCCCTCCTCAAAATCACCAACGACATTCTGCTTGCTGCCGACTCTGGTCTCCTCTCCATCCTCATCCTTCTAGACCTCAGTGCAGCCTTTGACACCATCAAGCACTCCATCCTCCTTTCACGCCTCCAGGACCAAATTGGAATAACTGGCTCCGTCCTAACCTGGTTTACTTCCTATCTTTCTGAAAGATGCCATTATATCTCTATAAACAACTGCACGTCTTCTACCACTCCAGTCATTCATGGTGTCCCCCAGGGTTCAGTTCTTGGCCCACTCCTCTTCATCCTGTACATGCTCCCCCTTGGACAGATCCTTCGCCAACATGGCCTTAACTTCCACTGCTACGCTGATGACACCCAACTCTACCTCTCCTCAAAGACCATCACAACCTCCACCCATTCAACCCTTACAGCCTGCCTCATTAACATTAAATCATGGATGCAAGAAAACTTTCTCCAACTCAACTGCGATAAATCAGAGATTCTCATCATTGGTCCCAACTCCCTTACCCAACATGCCCAGACTTTCTCCCTCAACATTGATGGCTCCAATGTCACCACCTCCACCTGCATCCGCAACCTTGGAACCATCTTCGATCCTACCCTCTCCTTTGTACCTCATGTCAACCATGTCACCAAAGTTGCCTTCTTTCACCTCCGTAACATTGCACGGCTCCGTCCCTCTTTGTCTAGCACTGCTGCTGAAACACTAATCCATGCCCTCATCACCTCCAGACTGGACTACTGCAACAGCCTTCTTTATGGATTACCAAACAAAACCATTGATAAACTTCAATATGTCCAAAACTCAGCTGCCCGCCTTCTCACCAACACCCGCCGCCGCGATCATATCACCCCAGTCCTTTACAACCTTCATTGGCTCCCAGTCAAACACAGGATCAACTTCAAAATACTTCTCCTCACATACAAAGCACTTAATAACCTTGCCCCTCCATACCTCTCCGTCCTACTAAACCGCCACACTCACACCCGCCTCCTCAGGTCCGCTGATGCTGACACACTCAAGACCATCAGGACTAAGCGCCGGTCCTGGGGCGACAGAGCCTTCTCAGCTGCTGCACCAACTCTCTGGAACGCCCTCCCCGACCACATCAAACAGTCTAGCACCTCAACATCCTTCAAACAGGCCCTCAAAACTCACCTCTTTGAACTTGCTTTTTCCCATTAACAGACTTTTCTAATTCCTCATCCTTTCACGCCACCTCTCTTGAATTACCTGTAAAGCGTCTTTGAGTGTCTAGAAAAGCGCTATAAAAATTGAATGTATTATTATTATTATTATTATTCTGGTGAATATGTCACTGAAAAATACTAAAAGAAAAATTAGGTAAGTTGAGAGAAATTTAGTAAGATTTGCAAAGCATAGATATTTTTTTTAAAAATATTGAAATTGAAAAATAAATTACTGTATCACATTAAAAATAATACAAAGGCTTAGTTTCACAGACAGGGATTAGATTAAACCAGGATTAGGGCTTTAGTTCAATTAGGACACAATTTGTTTTAATAAATGTACCCTATAAAGAAACATCACTGTTGTGCTTCTTGAGACAAAACATATTTTAAGATATGTCAGTGTAAATTGCTTTCAGTTAAAACAGCTCAAACATGCATTTTAGTCTGGGACTAGGCTTAAACCTTATCTGTGAAACTGGGCATAAATGTCTAAAATATAGGCTTATGGTAAAAACAGCGCCTTGAAAATATTTCCAGGAAAAAACTATGACGTATTTTGTATTGTGATCACTAGATGTCATGCTTGTGTTGCTCTCATACTAATGCAATTCTTTTATTTGCAGTAGATTGTTTTTTTTAATGGATTAAAATTACCCAGGATGAATTTCACCAACTGCTCCTATTGCATTTTACCAACTGCTCATTTGTATACTGTATATATGGGCAAAATGATTGGGACACACTGTGATCATGCCACCTTCACAATAAGTCAGTTCATGAAATTGCATCCTTGCCAGATAGTCCACAGTCAACTGTAAGTGGTATTATTGGAAAGTGGAAGGGTTTAGGAACAACAGCAACTCAGACACGGAAGACCACATAAAGTCACAAAACGGGGGGGTCACACGGAGTGCTGATCGCATAAAAGTCACCAACGCTCTGCTGACTCCATAACTGAAGACTTCCAGCACTTGCATTAATATCAGCACAAAAACTGTGCTGTGGGAGCTTCATGGAATGTGTTTCCTGTTGCATGTAAGCCTCACATCACCAAGTACAATGTAGTCGGATGAAGTGGTGTAAAACATGCTGCCACTGGACCCTGGAGCCGTGGAAAGTCTGATGGGCGAGTCAGGGTTTGGCAAAGGAGAACATTATCCTGCATGGCTTCATTGTGCCAAACGTGAAGTTTAGTGGAGGAGGGATAATGGTATGGGGCTGTTTTTCAGGGGTTGGGCTAGGCTACTTCCAGTGAAGGGAAATCTTAAAGCTTCAGCATACCAAGACAATTTGGACAATGCATCCAACTTTTTGGGAGTTGTTTGCGGAAGGCCCTTGACTGGGACCTAGTGCACAAAGCAAGGTCCATAAAAACAAGGTTGGTTGAACCTTTGGGGTGAACTGGAATGGAGGTTGTGAGCCAGGCCTTCTTGCACAACATCAGTGACTGAATTGTAATGAATAGGCAAAAATTCCTACAGAAACACTCCAAAAGCTTGTGGAAAACCTTCCAGTGAAAGCTGTTATAGATGCAAAGGGGGACCCAGTCCATATTAATGACTATATATTTAGAATACGATGTCACTACAGTTCATGTTTGTTTAATGGTCAGGTGTCCCAATATTTTTGTCAATGTATGTTATATTATCCAAACAGAATGAGTATTGTAATCTGATTCCATTTATTTTGTTTTATTTTTAAATCACAAAAAAAAACAAAAAACAGCCATTTTAACAGGGGTGTGTAGACTTTCTAAATCCATTACATATCTGTTTGAATTATTTCTTGGATGTATAAGAGGCCAAGAGCAGAATCGGTCAGGAATGGACTATATTGCATTGTCTAAATTTTATAGAGTCCAAATTGTTTGACACAAATGGTAATTAAAACTAATACATGCATTGCATGAACTGTGCCCCACAGCTCTGCCGGTTCACAGCACCTGTGCCTCATCTGGCCGTGTATACAGGCATTTGTGAAGCTCAATCTACTGCCTCCCCTGGGCTCATGACACTGCCCAACAGTGCTGCTTGCCCATCTCCCATCAGCGTGGCCATCGACAGTACTCCAGCCTCAGAGAGGAGGTTTGATGGCAACGGAGGGCCTTCCTCCTCCCATTTCCCATCTATTGCAGAGGCGTCTGTATCAGAGGAAGAGAACCAGCCACCTGCCCCTAAGTCTCGTATGGCTCTGTCACTGAGCAGACTCCTCCGCAGAGGATGCAATGCCCCGTCTGTCTTTGCCAGCCTATCCCCGAAATGTTCTGTAGCTTCAGGGGGAGGCAAAGTACAACCGCTTGGAGTGGAACCGCTAGCACAACCCCAGCCCAGAAGAATTGCAAAGTTAGTATGCACTTTTTGATTTGATTTTGGTCCGATTGATTTCACAATACTGTATTTGGATTTACAGTAAATGAAAAATACTGTATTAAATGACGCGAAGGGGATATTTTCCACAGTGCAACTTTAAAATACAGCAATATACTGTATAACTGTCCAAATACAGTTCATTTTACATTTAGATACTGTGTAATTTACAGAAATTGCTAACAGTGTGTGAAAAATAACCTACTTTCACAGCTTTTTTCAAATCAAAGTCGACATCCCACCTGAATGCCGCATCTACCCCATTGATTCAGAAGATGAGGAGGATGACAGTCCTGATGCAGCAAGACGAGGCGTGAAAGAAATCATTTGCCCATGGGAAACTGTCACCAAACAAGATGGAGCTAGGAGCTAGATAGAAGAGTCATAGACGAGTTACACTCTTAAAAATAAAGGTTCCAAAAGAGGGATTTTGCAGCAATGCCATTAAAGGACCATTTTTGATTCCCCGAAGAACCTGTCAGTGATCAGTTCTTAAAAGAACCATTTTTTTAGTTTGAAAAACATTTTAAAAACTTTTCCTCTATAAAGAACCTTCTTGTGGAAAGGAAAGTTTCCATGGATGTTACAGGTTCTTCATGGAACCATTGATGCCAATAAAGAACATTTATTTTTAAGAGTGCATAGAAGAAGTAAATACACTGTACCAATTCTTGTGTCATAAAAATTTTGTCTTACAACCCCGAGAAGGCTGTGGTTAGTAATGTATGAAATAACCTCATAACTGACTTGTCTGTTATTTTTGATAGCTTTTAGGTAGTGCCTACATGTTATCGTAGCCAATGAAACTATTTGGTCAGTTAATGATGGTTTTATATACTTAAATTCGTATTCTGATGTCACTGTTCTTTGACGACTGAAGGGGCCTTATTTTAAAAGATTTGCTTTGTTTGTTTGTTTAACTGTCGTCAATTTGGTTAGTGGTGAAAACAAAAGATTTTGTACTTGGCTTGTTCACTGTTTTATATAGCTGCAAAACATGCATAAAAGTAAATCGCTTTAAGAAATGTTATTTTCATAGAAGTAAATAGTAAGGCAGTAAAACAGAATGTGGATACACATTTGCTGTCTGAATGTTTAACCTTTAAAATGTTTACAGTTCAGAATGTGAATTTGTTCATGACTCATGTTTAAATTGTGAAAGTGCCTCAATAAAACATCTCAAAGTTAGTTATTTTGATGTGCAGTTGGTACATATACGGCATATATTTAGCATCCAGTATAACTGGTATTTTATTTTTATTGTATATTTTGTTTATTTTATGATAAAATGTCCCTACTAAGGAAACTGTATAAAGAAGAAAAAAAGGATTGGTCATGGGAACTTTTATTTTAACACAAAGTAGCCTAGCCCTTTTTATAGTATTGCAAATGCAAACACAATGACAGGAATGTTATAATTGCTTGACTATATATATTAACGATATGTTATTTATTTTAATTTTAATATATTTGTTCATTAAGCTTTTATTAACTGTTTGTTTGTTTATTATCATCATTTATTATTGTTTGTTTATTATTTATATAATGTAAAGGTGTTTTGTTTAACAATTTATTATAATTTTATTTTATGTTTCCCGATATTTGGAAGACAATTAATAAATATTTTTAGTCATATGTCCTGATCTAAAGATCGTGACGTTATTATTTTGAGTGGACTTTTATCTACAGGAAGTGCTAGTTTGCGTTGACTGGCTTCACAGTCCTCTGCGGTTGTTGAGCTGCAGAGAGTAGCCGGATGCCTCAGTACAATTTTATGAGTACATGAATACCTTTGTAAAGGCGAACGGTTGTTGCGTTTCACTTTGCGATTTGGTAAGTTGTTAAAATCAAACGGGTTCGCATGTGACCCTCCATTTAAACGGTGAAAGTTTTAAAATAGTAATAACAAGCAGTGGAATGTGACAATTCACCCGCTTCTCAGTTCTCATGTATTGTTGCTCAGCGTACATTCACTTGATCCACTAGTGTCTGTTACTACATACATGCAGCTGTCGCGACGAGGATCTGGCCTGCTATATCTGGCCTGTTTGCGCTTGTTTAAAATGTTAAATTTGATGTTTTTTCAAATGTATGAGCTAAGCTTATCAGCAGTCGTCTCATTTCCTGCCATGTCGCATCAGAACATGAATGTGTAACAACAAGCGATAATGAAAGTGTTGTAGTGCTAAAGAAATGTATTTCGCGGTTTGTTTATTATTCAAGTCAAATCTCTGTCATAAGGCTGTAGTTGTTTAATTTTAATATTTGTGCTCATATATATATATATATATAGTAGTTGGTGAGCTAGTGCTGGGACACACCTTCTAATCATCAACACATGCGGATCTTCCACTTGATGGATACAGACAATCAAGGGGCTTATATTATTCAAATCTGTATGGCCAAATTTATGTCAGATCTTCTGTCTGCATGCTCATGAAATAGTATATCAGATGAGATGCACAACTGATTATTACATAAGCATCTGCATTGACTGTTATGACAACACGTTAATAAAACCTCAAGGCATAACTTAATTATCCTATTTGGCTTTGGGGTATTGTACAGTGATTATGTACTTGTATATATACAGTTTTTCATTACAAATGAGGGTCCTCTCTTTCATCAGGCCTTCAAGATGCTCTCAAACTGTGAGTGGAAATGAGGGTGAAATCTGTTATTGTGGATCTCATAATTAAGGTATTGTGCTCTTTAAAGTCACCATGAAATCAAAATGGTCATTTTTTTTATGAAATATTGCAGTATTTATAAGAAATTATTTATCTGGGCACATCATTATTATTTTTAAAAAATCATGTGCCTTAATAATATTTAATCAAAATAACTTCCCTTCCCTCTTCAACAACATATGATGATGTGTTTTTGGCAACCTGTCGCTCACATGAGATCACAGCAATGGCAAACAACAATCCAATCAATTCCCAATGGACAAAATTAAGTTCTGCTCTACATTTTTCTTGTTTGAGAAGCCGTATCACTCTAATATACATCACAATAGGGAAGAAAATACTATCATAACTTCCGTTTCACTCTGACTTTAAAATTGATGTTTGAATAGCTAATGCTTTGGTTAAGAAATCCTCTGTAGTTGAGTTACCAGCTTGGCTAATTTAGTAACGTCATTGCAACTTTCAAGGCAAGAAAGGTAGTAAAGACATTGTTAAAACAGTCCATGTGACTACAGTGGTTCAACATAATTATAATGTTTTAAAGCGACGAGAATACTTTTTGTGTGCTTCTGGGTTCTACATCATCACACGCAATTATCGTGCCCATATTAATATAAACAGTGTCAAACTGACACGAAAAAGAACAAAATGTTGAACAAAGTCGTTATTGATATATTTTTTTCGCATATAAAGTATTCTCGTCGCTTCATAACATTAAGGTAGAATCACTGTGGTTGGTGGGGGTTAATGGGGCATGGGGTTACCTGCATCACTTGTGCACTGATGTTTGTGTTTTTAAATGACTTCTGTGGCTGATGGTTAAAGGCAGGTGTGGACGTGCACAATGAGGAATGTCAGAGAGCATAATGTATTTCCCCTAGTCAGTGGACTAAACCTGAACACTGCATGTCTGAACACTGTTTCTCAAGTAAAGTAGGAATGTTCCTGCAAGATAATCCCACTATTTGATATATAAGAGATGGTGTGCAGCCAGTCTGTCATTTTTACAAAATACAGTCCTGCAGGGTGATTGAGACGGGCACATGAATCTCAGGGGTCTTGAGATGACTTAAAATACTTTTAAGTCATCCTGCGGCCCCCATAGAAATTTACTGAGGCCCCCTGGTTGAGAACCACTGTATTAAACATGCCTCTAAAACATTTTTTTTATCTATTTATGCTAACCATAAAATTATTACTTAAATACTATATTTCAACTGCTTAGTTGCACAGTGCTGCAAATGAGCTGTTTTGACTCGGTATGAGATAAAAGAAGGCTTGGCATGATACGAAAGTAGAACTGGTATGTTGCCATGAACAGCTGTAAAATATACAACATAGCATTATAAAAGTATTTGACCACTCAGTCATGCTATTGACCAATCAGAAGAGCATGAGTGTGATAACCCAGCCAGGTTTTAGTGGTAACGTGTCATTGATTTTATTTAAATTTTTTTAATTCATAGCTGGCAGGAGACAATGTAATCTAATAGTACTTCTCAAAGAAAAGGGAAACTTGCAGGTATTGAAACTTTATTGCAAACATTAGGCTTACAGCAATAGGAAAAACATTTAAATAGTCTCAAAAGGCTTGTGAAATATTAGGTAACCGTTCAAAAGAAAAATGATTCTTTCTACTCCACCTCTCTTCTCATGGGACGTCAGGGTGGGATTGCCATGTCGATAGACTCTGGATGCTGATGAGCTCATAATGAAGAATGCATCAGTTTACAAGATGGGCGACTCTTACAGAAAGCAAAAACTCAATCATGCAGTTTGACATTGATTTTGGCTGCTCTTAAAGAAAAGCATTCAGCAATTACTTCTCTAATATTTGGATCTCTAGCCCTTAAAGGGATAGTTCACCCAAAAATGAAAATTACCCCATGATTTACTATCCAATAATATCCATATTTAAAACTTTATCGACTAAAATAACTAGCTTTCGGCAGACGGTCGTACGCATCGATTTACGGCGAAAGAGTGACCCTTGACCTGACGCATTGATGAACGCGGGAGTGCAGAGGATAGAGCAAAACAAAACACCAGTCACGAATTAGAAGTCTAAAACGATAATTTTTAAAGAGAAATATTGGAGGGGCTTGAGTTTGTTGCCCAGCCCTGTTTGTTTGAACTGCGAGAGGCATCTAAACTTATGCTACTCCTACATCCTATTTCATACATGCGTCACGGGCTACTCTTGTGGCGCAAGTCCACTTGCGTAGGCTGTCTGACGGAAGCTAGTTATTTTAGTCGATAAAGTTTGAAATATAGATATTTTTCTTACACGAACACATCGCTTCACTTCAGAATGCCTTTATCAAGCCCCCAGAGCCGTGTGAAACACTTTTATCATGGATGGATGTACTTTGATGGAATTCAAAACCGAAAGATGAATGTCATATACACCTAGGATGATTTAAGGGTGAGTAAATCATGGGTAAATTTAATTTTTGGGTGAACTATCCCTTTAAATCAGTTGTCACCATACAGTTAAAGAGATAGTTTACCCAAAAATGAACATTCTTTCTTATACGAACATAAAATAAGATATTCTAAAGAATGTTGGTAACCAAATATTTTTGGTTTGCATTGACTTGCATTATATGGGGAAAAATACAATCGAAGTCAATAGAAAACGAAACTGTTTGTTTACCAACATTCTTCAAAATCTCTTCTTTTCTTTTGTGTTTCACAGAAACTTATGAATGAATTTTAATTTGGTGGACTATCCCTTTAATGTCAGTAGGGCCTGGTTTCACAGACAGGGTTTAGATTAAGCCAGGATTAGGCCTTAGTTCAATTCAGACATTTAAGTAGCTTTTATAAACA